AAGAAAGAAGAGTAATGTAATTTGTAATAAATAAAATTATTATTTCAGTATGCAAAGTGCTTTATACACATATTCCAAACTCTGAAAAGTATTTAAATTCCCATTTTACAAGTTAGGATGATGAAGCAGAGAGGCAATAAAAATATCAGACTACCTCGGCTTAAATCCAACTCTGCCACTTAAAGCTGTTTGATCTCATCACCCTGTAAAAATAGGAATTTTTGTTGTTGTTAAATTCTTTTATTGGTACATTTTAGGTATACAACACAATTACATTTCTCATTGGGAATTGTACCTTTACATAATGCATCCTGGTTCTTATTTTTTCCCCATTCCTAGCCCTCCCTTCACCCCCTCCACCCTTCCCTATTTACAAAGACTTTTCCATTTTTTTCCATTTCTCATCATTTTTCCTTTCCCTTCTTTCCTTTCCCCTGCCCCTCCCACTACCCCTACCAAAAATAGGAATTTATAATAGTACCTAACTTCTAACATTGTGACAAGAATAAGTTAGTTTATATTTATGTACTTCTTAGAACAATGTGTGGCATACAGGAAGAACTATATAAATACTTATTAACCAAATAAAACAAGCATAGGTAATAGGGGTGAAAGTTGAGATTTAAACTGAGGCTTGCTAGGGCCAGGGATTTAGCTCAGTGGTTCCATTGCCTGCCTTGCAAGCGCAAGGTCCTGAGTTCAATCCCTGGTACCCCGCCCCCCCCAAAAAAGATAAGCGTTAAACTGAGGCTTGCTAACTCCAGCCTCTCTCACTGTGCAGATGAAGTACCATGTCACATCATTGTACATGATATTTGTATGGTATTTTTATCCTCTTTCTGATTCTTCTGCCTCAGCCTCCCGAGTGCTGGGGTATCAGCACATTTTTTGTAGGTATTCAAATTTGATATGCCGGGTGTGATGGCACACACCTGTGATCCCAGCACTTGGGAGGCTAAGGCAGGAGGATTGCTATGAGTTCAAGGCCAGCCTGGGCTACATAGTGAGTTCAAGGCCAGTCCGCACTGCATAATAAGACCCTGTCTCAATCAATCAGTCAATCAATCAATCAGTAAAATTAATTTGATAACACTCAGTACAGGCAAGCAATTCCAATAGAAAACAAACACTTTCTATGTTTTAATTCACTAGATAATTAAATTACTCAGTTACCTCTGTGTCACTCATTGCTGAATCATACTGAAAATTAGTGGTTATTTTTAGTTAATGTATGATCACTGTGTTGAAATACCATCTGTCTCATGTATACATTTTCCTATTCATTATCATATGTAAAGTCAATAATAGATTATTAAGTTTTTAATGACCATTCTTATTTCATTTTAGATTTTATGTTTACAATAAAAAGCAACGCCTTGTCAACACACCTTATGTGGATAACTCCTATAAATGGGCTGGTGGTGGATTTCTGTCTACAGTGGGTGACCTTCTGAAATTTGGGAATGCAATGCTGTACAGTTACCAAGTTGGGCTGTTTAAGAACTCACATGAAAATTTTTTACCTGGATATCTCAAACCAGAAACAATGGTTATGATGTGGACACCTGTCCCTAACACAGAGATGTCTTGGGATAAAGATGGTAAATACGCAATGGCATGGGGTGTGGTAGAAAAGAAACAGACATACGGTTCTTGTAGGAAGCAGCGGCATTATGCCTCCCATACTGGAGGTGCAGTGGGTGCCAGTAGTGTCCTGCTGGTTCTTCCTGAAGAAGTGGATACCATGAATAACAAGGTTCCCCCAAGAGGAATAATTGTTTCTGTCATCTGTAACATGCAATCTGTCGGCCTCAATAGCACTGCTTTAAAGATTGCCCTGGAATTTGATAAAGACAGATCAGACTGATCTCTTAACATCACAGGTGCAAAATAAACATTTTGAAATATTAAAGTACCAAAATACATGAGCTTTTTAAGAAGAAATTTGTAATAGAGTACAATGAATGCAGAAAAGTATGTACCTCTACTTGCTTAATTTTGTAACTGTCTTATTGTAGAATTAGTTCTTTATACTCAGGGAAGTAGCTATTGTTTCTACTTTTTGGAAAAAGTGTTAACTCTTGAAATAAAATATTCTGATAAAAACATGTATTTTTTGGATGTGTAATAGAGAAAAATCTCATTCAACAGGAGCCTTCAAATATTGACCTTTTAACGTAACAGTGGACACAAGATTATGAAAAATGGCTGGGCCTGGTGGTGCATGCCTGGAATCCTAGCACTGAGGAAGGCTGAGGCAGGAGGATTGCAAGTTCAAGTCCTTTCTTGTAATCTTAGCAAGACCCTATCTCAAAAAATACAAAGGTTTGGGGAAGTAGCTCAGTGGTAGAAGTGCCCCTGAGCTCAGTCCCCAGTACCACATACACACACACACACACTATGAGAAATGATATTTTAGTTATCTCTTGCAGCTTAAATGAACAAACACCACCTCCCATTTTCTAAGGTTCAGGAAGCGAGGAGTAATATAGTTGGGTGCATGTGGTGCAGAGTCTCAGAAGCTTGCAGAGAAGGTGCTGCAATGGTATGAAGGATTCTCTGGGATTGGAAGAAGTGCTTTGGAGATGGCTCACTCGTGTTCCTAGAGTCTGTCTGTCCCATGGCTGGTGAGTGGCAAGAGGCCTCCGTTTGTCACTGCATGGGCCTCTCTGTAGGGCTGCTTGAGTATCTTAATTAATGTTGGGGCAGTTATTTTTCCCCAGAGCAAGTGACAGATAGTGCATGAGCAAGTGCAAGTGCACCAGGCAGAAATAAATCTATAAGCTAGCCTCAGAAGTCACATCCTTTCACATTTGCCATATTCAGTAGGTCACATGGGACCTGATAGAACGTTGGAGGGCTCACCCTCTTGGGGTAGTTCTGGTGGTATTCCTTACACTCAGTAGTTCAAGACCTATGAATTAAAGGCAAGTTATTTGCTCCCCACAAGTACAATGGAACAACAGATGTAGGATAATTTCTGTAGATCCTCCTGTCAAAAAGTGCAGAAATGGAAGACATGAGAGTTCATAGCAATTCTAAAATCCAATGAGATATAAGTTGGCAGCTCCTTGATAAGTACTCAAGGCTTGGGAAAAATTCTTGGCTCTTGGCTATGTTTTCTGGGCTCTTGGCTCTGCCCTCTGAGTTATTCTTTGTTTGTGAAAGGTAGCATGTGTTGCCAGCTGAGTGGTTTTTCTCAGCCTGTTTCCTGTTTGTAGAAATCTGGGGGTGCAAAGGCCTCTTTGTACTTTGTCCTTTTGGTGTAATTACACTGTTGGCCGTGTTTCTGCCAACATAGTTTTTTAAAAATGTGAATATCCAGGGGCCAGGGATTTAGCTCAGTAGTTCCACTGCCTGCCCAGCAAGCACAAAGACCTGAGTTTGATCCCCAGTACCAAAAAAAAAGTGAATATCCTGAAAAGCTCATTGATGTTCATGCCAGTAGACAAAAACTATATTCCCAAACCCCTTCAAAATGAGCCTCTGTCTTATTTGAGATTAACTTGAGACCATGTTTTTCTGGAAGTGCCCTAGATTTTATATTTGCCTTGAAGCTATTTTTAAATTTTAACATCATTTGTCATCTGAGATCTGAGAATTTTCAAAAGCAATTATTGATTCCTTCTTTCATAGTTCTTTATCTTATTCTCTCTTGCGTGTTAGTGTAAGGAGCAGGAAGAATCCAGGAGGCACATTTAGCACGAGGCCTGGAAATCCCCTCTGGGTCACCCCAGTTCTTGAGGCACTTTTTCTACTTTCTGTAGTGTAAGCAATACTGTTGATAAATTTTCTGCTACTACTAACATGAATCCCCTTTCCTCCAATTTCCCAAGATTTTCCTTAGTTTCCTTAAATCCACATATATAGCATCCTCAAAGACCATCCAACTTCATAAACGGTTTTCTTCTGGGCTTCTCAGGCTTTCACCAGTACTCTTCCAACTTTCATCCAGGGCTCTGTTCCAGATCCATGTATATCTCATATAATTCACAATTCACTTACAATAAGTAACCCTTTAAACTTTAAAGCATACACGAGTTTTGTATATTCAGAAGATTTTACACTCAATACCACTATCTAATTTCAGAACATTTTCACCCCCCCAAAAAAGCTTTATACCCATTAACATTTGCTCCCTATTTTCTACTTTCAGCCCCTGGCAACCAAACAATTGACTTTCTATCGCTTTAGATTTCCCTATTTTGGGTATTTTGTGCAAATGGAATCATGCAATATGTGGCCTTTTGTGTCTGAGCATTTCCCTTTTATAGTGTATATTAGTTGCATTATCCATTGCTGCATAAAAAACTTACCCCAAAAGTTATCTCTGTTTCTGTGTTCCAGACATTTAAGAGCAAGTTAATTGGGTGGTTCTAGCTCATAGTTTCTTGTAAGGTTGCAGACAAGATGTCAGAAGGGGCTTCAGTTATCTGAAGGTTTAGTAGGCTGGAGCATCTGATTGCATGATGGCTCACTCATGCCAGAGGCCTCTGTTGTTGATAGATTTTTGGCAAGAGATATCGGTTTCCTACCACATGGGCCTCTCCATAGGTCAGCTTAATTGAGCTATGGCTTCCCTCAGAGTGAATGATTTGAAGAGAGAACTAAGCAAAAGCCACATACTTTCTGTAATCTATCCTTTGGAAGTCCTATGCCATCACATATGTCAAATTCTGTTGGTCATAGAGACCAATGCTGATCCAGTGTGAGAAAGGACTGTACAAAAGTTTAGATATCAAAAGCTTGGCCCTCATTGGGCACTACCTTGAAGACTGGCTCTGCAGATGGTTTATTGTAGTGTCGACATTAGATATTTTGTTGTAGCAGCCATAGATGGTGTATACTGGAGATTATTAGTGCACCACTGAAGTTAGGAAAACTCAAGAAATCAAAGCTTTTACATACTCAAATAAGAGGGTTTTTTTTTTCTGTAATTCTGTGCTCTAAATCTGTTTCTTCACTTTCCAGTTTATAAAAGTAAAGGATGTCTCTGGGTTGATTGAATTGTAAAGAAAGCAGCCCTTAAAGCAGATCCATTTCATCCCTGTTTCTTTCTGGCTTCTCCTAATCATTAGGTCATGTATTCATCGCTTCTCGGCCTCTTGGCTAAGATCAAGTGTAGGTTATGTATTCATGTTTTTCATATTTTCAGTCCATGCTCTCTTTGATGAATATAAAAATGCCATATCTTTTAATATTATTTTAAAATTTAAACATGCATTGGATATTGTGATGAAAAGCAAATCAAATTAGTATAATTTTTTCTCATACAACATGATCCAGCTTTTTAATTTGATCATGTGATAGCAATGTAAGTAAGTGGTTGCGCCTTTGCACACAGACCACAGACCAGATGCCTGCGGCCACCAAACAGCTGCTATTTAAATGGGGAGAGAAAGATGAAGGAAAAGAATTGTCATCAGGGAGAAGTGCAGTGTGGCTCAGCCAAAGGTTCAGGAGGATCCATGGACTGTAAAGAGCCCTGTGAATTTAGACTAATTTTTGTTAAGATTTTTTAGGATTCTTGTCAAAGCTCTGGGAACTATGAACCTTCTCAGAAAACGAGCTAACACAAGCAACTGGGGTTCACAGACCCAACCCTCCCCCATTAAGAATTTGTCTTCGGTGGCCAGGAATTTAGCTCAGCGCAAGGACCCGAGTTCGATCCCTGGTACCCCCCCCCAAAAAAAAAGAATTTGTCTTTGATATTTTTATCATAGCTTCTTTTCTTACCTAATTCTGTCAGGCACAGTATTGATAAAGAATGTTGCATATACCCCAGAGTGGTTATCTCTTAAGGATGACTGACCCTTTATATTAGGGGAAAGAACAACTAAAGTTTCTCTTATTTGGGGGGTATTATTTTTTGTTCTGTTGTTCTTGTTTTTTTGTTTTGTTTTTGGTACTGGGGATCGAACTTGGGTCCTTGCACTTGTGCAGCAGGCAGTGAAACCACTGAGCTAAATCCCCGACCCTGTTCTTGTTTTTTTGTCATCAAAACCCACAGCCTGTGCAAATGTTCCTTAGCTACAAATGATTTGCTTTACTTTTCTTGTGTCAAACTGATCTTTTGTAGAACTTTATGTGCACAAAAGATTCACATGACAAATACCCATATTCCCAATATCTGTCCCCCTGCTCCAGTACTAGAGATTGAACCCAAAGCTTCTTAAAACTTTTTTTTGAAACAGGATCTCAGTAAATTGCCCAGGCTGAGCTCAAACTTGGAATCCTCCTGCCTCTGTTTCCCAGCTTGTTGGGATTACAGTCATGCACCACCAGTCCTGGCTTTAATACCCACAATTAAAATGTTAACCTTTAGTCAAATTTTCTTCAATTTAAAATAATAAAAAATAGAAGACAAGAAATAAGGCTGAAGACTCTTAACTACTACTCGAAGCTCCACTTCCTTTGCCTAGCAGGCAAGTGCCACCAGGAGCTGGTGTGTATCTTCCCACTTCATTGTTAGATTCTTTCACAGCTACATATCCATGTCTAATACATAATATTGTTGCTTATTTTTGCACAAAGTCATAGCGTACATGTTTTCTATATTACTTCAACATTGTTTTTTGTGACCTTGTGAATTCTTAGAAATCCAGTTTATTGTAACTGCTGTAAAACATTATGTATCACAGCCACACTGCATTATCCATTCTTTTTACTCTAATAGTGCTGTAGGGAATCATTTTCTTGGTTAACTCATGAAGTTCCTGCTCTTGTATGTCAAAAACACTGGAATGTGGATAATTTCATATGGTTGAGCCTAACTGTTGTTTGTATGGCAACATTTTAACATCTTTTTGATGTCTTTAGTATATAGTGAATGGAAAATGGTATGATTTTTATTTGCATTTATCTACTGTTAATGAAGTTAGAGATATTTTTATATATTGATTTGTCAGTTGAATTTCCTTTAAATTTCCCTTTCCTGTGCTAATTCAGATCATGAAAAACAGAGACTTGATTGTGAATGTGATCATGGATTAGAGAATGAATAAGCCTGGTAACTTTTGTAGTTCTCCCAAGAGTAGCAAATTATTTAATGGTCACAATTTCTTCTCATTCTGTTGTCCATGGAATTTTGCAAAGTGATTTTGCTACT